TTATAATCAATGTCATTTGGGTCTAGGTTTGTGGAGTCGGCTGTTTTCTGATGTGAGCTGCTAAAAACAGGTGTTACTTCAGGAAGAGTATAAATATTATGGGATGCTTGAGTGTAGCACCTCCTTTCCCTGGGCACAGTCTGCAGGGACAGGCCTTGGGAAATTCTCATGCGTTTGCCCTTCTCTGCAACTTGAAATTGTAGTCCAAGCATGTTAACTCGCGGTGGGCTTGTGTAGTCCTACAGTCCTATAGTCCTTCCTTGAGGGGGCCGCGGCCGCCAGGGAGTGCAGGGGTGTAGGGGGCGGGGGAGGGGCGGTTAAATTAAATTGGCCGGAATGAAGCTCCATTCACCATCTTGTAGCAATAACCCTACAGTCTTCAGTGCTAAGAGCTGAGGAGGAAAGCATTATTACCAGTACTACCTCCCTAAAGCTTGGCCACTGATCCACCCCAAAACTAGTTATGCTTCACTTTCCATCGCTGGTAAGTACTTAGCTCCAGCGGAGCATTTTGTGAGCCTTGTTTGAGATGGTTCACATCTACCCCACATTACGGGAAATGGCACTGCCAGACTGCTGTGAGCAGCGAGGGGAAGATGGCGAGACTGGGCCAGGCCATGAGTCCACCATTGGGCTTGGGATGGGTGAGGGATGGCGGCAAGAGGACAAAGCCAAGCACTGAGGAATGGAGACCTGGAAAAAAAGTAGCTTGTTGCTACTGAATATCCAGTCTCTTTGGCCAGAGCATTCTAGAAAAGAGGGCATCCGGGTGTCAGAAAACAACATGTGTGCTGCTAAAAACAAAAAGTGGACTATTTAGACCTTAATGGAGCTTTGTAATGGATTCAGGGGGAGTGGGGAGTGGAGGCACTATATTCAAACCTAAGAATCTGCATTAGAAAATATTTAGAGATGTAGGATGAGGTGTGACTGGAGAAACGCTGGTCCCCTGCAAGTCTCTTACATGGAACTGTGAACTCGGCTCCTGCACACAACATGGTTCCCAGGCAGCTCCCAGGTCACTCCCAGGTCATCAGTGCCAATATTCTCACTTTACACCAGAGAGTAATGTTCGCCCTAAAATGCATCTTGGCAAAAACTTAAAGTAATGGAGCTGCTGTGCTAACTTCTACCGCTTGACAGCCTCAGGCTCCGAAAAAGAAGGGGTTGGGACAGGAGATGGTGTGGAAATTCTTTGGGGCGAGAGCAGTGGGAGAGTCCTGAAGGACTGGTGCTGTGTCACATGGAAACAGCCACTGCCCACCAGTCTTGGGCTGCAGCTTCACTTTTCAATGGTGCACATTATTGGGGTCTGAATTACAAAGAAAAAATGAGCTACAGAGAATGAGTGTTGAGACTATACCTTGGATGAGCACAGCCTATGTGATTGGATGCTTTGGTGTTCCTGGGATATACAACCAGGAGACTTTGTACTGCCTTTCTGGGGTTACTTATTTTGGGAGACAACCCTCATCTGGAAACAAAGGAGGGAGATGTTTACAAGAGGGTTTTGCAATGTTAACTAAAGTCAAGAAAAATTTCAGTGCGATACAATAGAAAGAGCAAGCCAACACCCCGCCCCCCCCCCCCCACACACACACACAATCTATGTGACAATTTCAAGTGTGCAGGTCGCTGCCTAAGGGTATGAGATGGGCAGTTATCTATGTCTGCTGCCTTGGCTGCCACTGAGTTGCCAGCTTCTAGGCTCCAGAGTGGACACTGGCAGTGTAGTGTTTGCACAGGCATTTCTCAGAGCCACTGCCCCGCAGGTATTTAAAGAGCAGCCAGGCAAGTCACACTAGGTCGCAGCAGCCCGGAGGGTCTGTGTGCAGCGCAGGCACCGGGCACACACTCCATGTTACAGCAGAACTCTGGCGTCAGTGGAATCCAGGAGGCCTGGCTGCTTTTCTCCCCAGGCAACAGCCACCCAGAGCAGGCGGCGCCAGAAGTTCGCGGTTGCGCTTTGGGTCCTCGGTGGCCTTGCGCGGAGGTTGACTGCGCCGGGATGTTTGAAGCATCTTTGTTTTGGATGTTGGACTGAGAAGCAGGAACAGGTGCGTGCGCTTCCTGGAGGGGCCGCGGCCGCCAGGGGGCGCAGGGGGAGGGGGAGGGGCGGTTACATTAAATTCGCAGGAAAGCGAGCTAGTCCGGGGAAATAAAACCGCGGGGGCTCCGTGCAGCCTCCCCGCAGCCCCCTCCTCCCCAGGGAGCACACGGCCCAGGGGAGGATGTTTGCAAAGGTGAGTATTCAGTGTCCCGCGCTACTCCCGGGGCGTCCTCCCGCCAGCCTTTCCCCACCCAGCTCGTGGGACCCGGCACTGGATCCGGTGGCCTGCGAGCCCTCCTCTCGCCGCCCAAAGGGGGAGAGGGTCCCAGCGTCCCCACGCAGGCGAGTCCCTTGCGGGCCTGACCTCCTGCCGAGCGGCCTCGGGCTTCTTGGCTCAGGTGGCCATCACCCACCCACTGACCCGCTCCTCCT